GAGGAGATAAGAGACTGTGTGTGTGAGTGTGTGTGTGTGTGTGTGTGTGTGTTTCTTGCTAAATGAGATAACCGGTGTCCCAGCTGGCAGTGATTCAGCAGTCTGTGTGGAAGCTGTGTGACATTGGCAAGATGTTTTTTTTGCCATACGGGGGGGGCTGCGTCACGCCTTATGCTTCAGCTGACTGTGCTATCGTTTCAGCTAAATTTTGCTCTCCGTCTTTTTGAACCTCCGTTTTTGCTGTTTCAATGCAAGAACTGCACCCCTCCCTTTCCTTCCCACAATTGTATTTATTACAGCATTTTTACAAGGGGAAAAATACTTGATATTTTTTCTCCAAGAAATGCTATAGTCAACGTAAAGAAAAATCCTGCAGAATAATACATTTCCCACCGGCTAATTATGCTTTTGGGGACAAATCAAAGCTGCTTCCTGATTGTTTCTGCTTTTGTTTCAGAAAGGGCAGGATTCATCAAACTCACTTGACAGATAAAGCAATAATGGGAATCTGTTTTACAGAGCAATTAATTAAGGACAGTCATTAGTCATTTTGATGTGTTGTTAAAGATCGTCTGTTCTGACATTTTTCTAATCTTAGCCATGTTGAAATAAGGGTATAAAGGAGTTTGGACACTCGTTTTTCTGCATATCAATTTATTTAAAAATAAACAAGGAGTGTGGATTTTTTCTAATGTAATATACCCAGAATTGTACATAGAGGCTCGAATATATATACACCTTGTTTCTGTTTATTCTGCCATGTAAGCTGTCATATTGAAAAAGAATTACATTTGACTTTTTATATTAGTGCCCCCCAAAATATCACATTATTAGGAAAATTAATCATAAAGTAGGTCAAGCTGTCAGTTTACGTTTCAGTTTCAACATCCAAATGCCAGGTGATTGTGCAATGGTAGCATAAGGTCATTGGTGCAATAACTGATTGACTGTAGCAGTGGTCATGTGCATTATGCAGGGTGTATTTTGGTACACCTTCCAAAGTACATACTGTACTTTGGAACGTGTACATGGGTACAACCTGCCAAATATCAGCCATGCAGCCAAAATAATTAGCTGCATGGCTGATCTTGTGATAAAATTGTGCATGATATAATGCAAGTCATTTTGTCTTCTTCTGTCTTTTGAAACAAACAATAGATGCACAATAGTGTAAAGGTGATATACCTAAATTGCAGAGAATTATTTTTGCGGCCATCAGAGAGTTTTTGGTACAACCCCATCTGGATGCTCGACCGCTTGTCTCGCCACAAATGGAAGAGTTCCTTAAAACTAATTGAAGCCAATTGATCTCCTGACACAGACTTTACTTTAAGCTTTACCTTAGATTTTCAACATGATTTAGGGAAGGGACATTCCAGAAGCTTAATAATATATATACCAGAATAAGCCTACTTTATCTATGGCTAAATTATTTTTGATTTGTGTTTGGATCATTGTCTTGAATCATACCCGTTTGTCAAAGATTTAGTTCAGGGGGAGTTAAAGAATTTGGATGTTGTTTTCTTTCTTCATTATCCCAACCGCTGCATTCACCAGGATGTCTGGTAGCAAAACAACCTCACAGCATGATGCCACCTGAAATAAAATCAAGTGTGCCAACAGTACACATTTCCCAAGCACATAAAAACTGCTCTGACCTATACCATATTAAACATTTGTGGACTATACTTCAGGTGAAACGAAGGAAACCAGTCTGTTTGAATCAACTTGAATCAAATGTCTCTTCTAAAAGGAAAGATACTATAGTATACACAATATGTGCAGCAGGAAAATGAGCTTTCCAGAATCATATGGATAAACCAGATGGTGCATCATGCCTGAGTTTTTGGCTGCCCTGTACTGATGTCTTCAAAAACATGAAAAGATCATTAGTGATGACTTAGTTCTGTGTTGTCCTTGAAGTCTGGGTTCCACTTCCATCCTGTCTGGATCACAGAAAAACATTTAAAGCTCCACTTTGACCTTTCCCGTCTGACAGTGGCCTTTCTGTAATGAGCAATTTTGAATTCACTGTTCAGTTAAAAAAAAAAAGGAACTAAACAACAACAATGGTAGGGATGAAAGAAATTCTTCCTGGGTCAGCAACATAAGCAACGCTAAGCAACATTGACAGAAAAGCAAATTGCATGGATTCCACTGCTGCCACAAAGAAGAGCTTGTTCTGTTTATTTATTTATTTTTTACATACAGTAAGCTATTCACAAGCAAATTCATCCCAAGATGTAAGTCAAGCATTTTTCTGTGGTAATTTAAACACCAGCCAACCAATAAAGTTCCCTTTCCCCCTGTCCTCACCTCGGTTTAACGCTTGGTAATTTACTGAGACTTGACAGCACCATAAATCCAGTCAATCTCTGCAGGGAAAGAATTCATCAGCTGAGCTGTGCATGCAGCCTCCGTTAGCATTATGCCACCTCAGCGCTGACAGGCATGGAGCTACTTTTATCACCACCCTCATTAGGCAGTCGGACAGAATCTGCCTGTGCCAGCCTGCCAGCAGGTTAAGAGCCACACGTGCAGGAAGCAGCAGTTGCTGATCAGCAGCATTCATGCAATGATCCACCCTGTTAAACAGATAGCGTTAATTTTATTTCATTCATTTCATGTCTACAAATGTCAACAGAAGCGGTTTGTAAGCAGACATATGCATGTTAGAATGTCATCATGAAGTTACAGTGTCTTGTATGAAACAGTTCAATGGCTTACTTGTGTTAGCTAGTGAAAAAGCTAATTTATAGTTTCTTGGATTATTTGAGCATTACATCACCAATAAAAAAATATTTCATACTATAAACATGTCATGCCTTACACAATCATCGGAAAAAATGCTGACTTGACGGATCAATGCTAAAGACGCTGGCTGTTGATGGAGTTCTGTGTCCAACCACAATAATGAAAAGTTTCGTGGAAATGTGTGGTAGGAAACAATGCACCAGCCGGGAAAGATGACACCATTCAAACACTGGGCAATCCAAAATACTTTACACAAAATCAAGGCAGAAACATTAAAATAAAAACTGCTTTGAAAAATGCTGAGAAAATACGATGTGACAAATTTAAATCTCATACTTTAATCATTCCTCAGTGAATAGGCAAATGGTTTTTCATCTGCTCTGTAAGCTGCAGTAAATCTGATGTTTTCAGTCCTGATTTAAAGGATCCAACAGCTTCCGCAGGTCTCAGGTTTTCAGGGTGTTTTCCCCAGCACTGAGGAGCATAAAAACTAAGAAATATGTTTTGGTCCGAGAATATTTAGTGCCTCTGGCCGCCACATTTTGGATGAGCTGCAGCTGTCTGAATTTTTACAAAAAAAACTGTGAATAAACTATTATAACCATCCAACTTACTAAAACTGAAAGCATGCAAGAGGTTTATGGTGTCTGGTTTAACATAATACCCATTAATTTGGAAATATTTCTATGATGATAGCCAGCTGATTATTAAGTAACAGACTTTATGCGGTTGTTAAAATTTAGATCTGTGTCCAAGAAAACACCAAGATACCATGTGATCTAATTAAGACTAGTTGAGCTTTGATCCCTATCCTCATATTTTACACAAAAGTTCGATAAAATGTGTGCATCACTGAAATGCATCATAATCACAATCACACCTGGTTCCAGCTACGCATCCAAAAAGACATTCCTGCAGAAACTGCAGTAGATGCTCCACAAAAGGGCATTGCTATTAATGATACTCTTTTTATTTTTTCTTAGCTTCCTTTGTCTTATGATCTTGTGATAATACTGACGACTCTCATTCAAATGAAATGAAAAATGATTGCCTAGCGGTGAGGGAACAGTTGTGATGAGAATATAATTTGGCTCAGCTTTAAATATTGGTGCCATATATCACCTGCTGGTGTGCTCCTCGCAGACAGACCTCTGAAAATCTATAAGGAACAATTTTTCCATGACCACAAAAAACGTTTTACTTCTTTTGAAGTTAGCTGGACATTTTGCAGTTGACTACAGTGTGTAATTTTGTGCAATTATTGCTTTTTAACCAAAACAAAGCTATTCAAGACCACAAATGTGCCACATTTTCCACTCTGTGCAATTTTGATCTGAGCTTCTTCTACAGGGCCAGTTTTAGTCATATTTTCCTTTTACTTTCCTGTTTCTTCCCTAATTTGTTTCCCATTTATAGTATCAGACCTCCACCTGCTTGTGTCTGTTAAACATTTCTTCCAATTATGGTAATCTGTAAAACTTTAATAGCCTTATAATAGTGTTAGCACATGTGTCTTGAGCCAATGGCTGACTGTTTTAAATGCTTTCCAGGCATATCCTGTGGATTCCCCTTATAGAAGATTTTTTTTTTCCTTTTGGTGTCAGTAAACTTTCTCCTTTTTTGGTGCTGACGTAATAATTATTTAGTGGATCTAACCAACGATTTACGTTTAAAGTTTTTAATGTGAATAAAACAGTAATGCATGTTTCTCAAACTCTAACCCACCTCACAGCTTTCCAGTAAAGTTAATTAATGTTAAAATGAATTCTCTTTCCAGGGAGTAAAAACTACAAATAAAGCAAGATACTTTTTATCTATTGAAGGAATAAATTTGGAAAACAGCTGACTAAAGATTAAAGAGAAAAATATGTCCAATACTGATACAAATTTCCTACAATGCAAAAACACTAAATTATACAAAGTATTTTTGGTCTAATTTCTAGTGCAAATGTCTTGGTTCACTTGCAATATGACAAAACTAAAACAAAAATTATTGTTTTAAGTGAATAATTCATTAATATTGATGAAAAAGAACTAGTTATATGTGAAATAATCTGCTGATGGAACTAGTACTTTTTCATCAATATTAAAGATATGACTTAAAGACATGCATGGGAAACATGGGAAAAGAGTATGAAGTCAATTTTGGAAGGAAAAATTGCAAAAGATTTAATAGTGCTCGACTAATGTAAAACTAATAATTAAAATTCACAGCCATCAAGATGTCTCCTTTGCTGTGTTCACAGGCTTATCTTCGCTCAGTGGATGTCAAGATTTTGCAACAGTTACTGGCAGTCCATGAGGGCATCGAGGCAGTGAAATGGCTGATGGAGGAGCGCAGCACACTAACCAGTCACTGCAGCAGCCTGACCAGCAGTCAGTACAGTTTGGGTGAGGGCCCCGACACGTCTTGGAGGGGTTCCTGGAGCAGCCTGCAGGACCCCACTAATGACAAGCTAGACAACATCTCTATAGGCAGCTACCTGGACACTCTGGCTGATGACATGGATGAGTACTGCCCCTCCAGCTCAGAGTCTGTCATTTGCTCCACCACGCCACTGGTTTCAGAAGCTGCACCCGAGAGCGACACAACCGGAGCCCCGAGAGTGTGTGGAGCAGGAGCTGCTGTGGGAGCTAGGTCGAGTAATGGAGATGGGAATCAGATTCGAACTGGGACAAGTGACAAAGAAATGTTAGGGGCACTTGGGGTTAGCAGTGCCGTCACTGGGCCTGGAGGCAGTGAAGCTGGAATATTAGGAGCTCCCGTCAAGTTTCCCCAAGTCAAGTCAAACAGGTCCAAGGAAAACTCTCCAGTCCGAACCAAGCCTGCAGAAATGGATAAGGGCAGCCCTGTTTTAAAAGACGATGCCAAAACACAAATGCTTAAGGTCAATGGTGTTCTGGAAAAAACAGCAACACAGACAGGCAGCCCGACTCGCAAAGGCGTCCCTGACAAACTGGGAACCAGACAGAGCCCCAAAGCCAAACAGTACAAAAACGGGAAGATTGACTTGGATACATGCAAAATGAATGGCAAAATGCACCTGGAGTACGATGCTCACTGGCGATGGGTGCAGTCACAGGAAGATGTGACATTTTTGTAAAAAAGGACCATCACATTGAGGGTGAACAACCATATTAAATGACATTAACATTCTTCCCTCTGCACTGACTTTTCTAGAAAACATTGATGTCACCATTTTACAGGATTTGGCCCATTTTTTTTTTTTTTTTTTTTACAGATGGGGATGCCTCACTCAAATATAGGAAAATTACTTTGAAAATTCAGTACTATAGTCTGTCTCAGGATATTTCTAGCAGGCCCTAATTTTAATTTGAGATGTATATTTTTAATTTTTCTGTAGAAAAAAAAGCACAGTGACATGATTTGCCAGAGAGCTGAAACATTATTGCAGATTCTGTGATATGGCGGTGGTTTCTAAATTCTTCCTCAATAATGTTATTGAGACTCAATTGCTGACCTTGATATTGTTTTTAACCAGATTTAGGTTGCGAGTCATGAAAATCTCTCTTCAGATTCTTCACATGACCATTTGCCGGGATCCAATCCCTTGAGACTGGACATTTCAAAACATAAACATAGTTAAATGTACTAGATTTAAAAAAGATAAAAAATCCAACATAAATTGGCCCCTTTTCATACAGTAGATTTACACAAAATTTGCTGTACAAACGTATTTATGCATAACTGGCCTTGTCCAGTAATTATACACCACATTAGTGCATTTTACCAAAATGTGCAGTGCAAGTGATTGTTATGAAATTTGTGCGCATGTTACTACCCAAAACATTCCTCTAACGACCGTAACTTTTAATGTTAAAAAAAAATTTACCAAGGTTTGAAAAAGTTTAAAGAAAATAATATACCACAAATAGTTTTGTCATTGTACAGTCTTGCTTCAGTGCAACTATCTACAATAATGTAAATTCACAATACAGCTTCTCTGCGCATCTGTTATTAGTGATGTCTGACTCTGTGAAAATCCTGAATATAGCCTTTTTTCAGTTTTATGCAATGAAGAAGTTGTGCCTCTTTAGTGTGAAGTTTAACAGCAAAATCCTGTATTTTTCCTAAGATGATTGCACTGTCGTCATGACAGCTTGAATGCCTTGGTTCGTTTTGTTTCTTTAACCACGCCTTTGCCTCTGCTAGTGTGTCCAGATATACTGTAGCTAGACCAGGAGTCTGTGCTTTTGAGTGTCGATTGGTGAATGTGTTATGCCGACCGCGTAGATGTTGCATGCCAGGTGCTGAAAGCTTTAGTAGTTGATTTGTGGGGATGATGCGGAAGATCGAACAATCAAGAGAAGCAATATATTTTTAAACTCTTATTCAGCAAAAGAAATCCAATAACACAATCTTTCTTGGATGGCAATGTTACTTATGAGCCAGAAGGAAACCGATGAGTCCCAAAGTTTTGAAAAAGCTTTTTGATCATCCAACACATTGTTGCTATTCCTCCAGTTAGTCAGCAGTTAAACATCCTGATGCTACAGGGTTGGTGGACAGAGCTGGACATCTTTCATTATGTAAACATAACATTTAGTCTAATCAGTAAAAATATTTTACCACACTGCCCACTTGGTAATCAGTTAACCTAAAGTCCTTTTTTTATTAATATACTGTTGGAGGAAGCTGGAGTACCTAGCGAGAACCCACACATTCACTGGGGACATGCAAAAAACCCCAGGATGGGATTTGAAACCAATACCTTATTGCTGGAAGGCTGAAAGCTCGTGATAGTTTTTTTTAATAAGATAAATGTAAAATAAGACCACTCAAGACAAAGGAAAGCTCTGACTCCAGCGTTGTTACTCTTCTCCCCGAAATAAGAGGATGTTTTTCTCCCAACAACTGAATCACTGGAAAACCCCATGTTATATTAGTAAACCATGCAATGGCAGTCTCTCTGTTTTCTGTTTATTGAGTATCTGTTTCAGTACTTATAGTTCCCACAACCTATGTAGCCCTAAAATCCATATTTTAAACATCTGGTGGCAGGAATGAAAGCTAAAATATTCACATCTACATCTAAAATATTCACATACAGTCAACTGTTCTTTCCTACATTTGGAATTGTTCTTATATACTTCTGGGAGTTACTGGACTTAATTCTGCGTCTCTGAAATATCACTATTGAAATTCTGATGGACCATTGAGCTGTCCAGGGTGTATACCACCTTCAGCAACCTTTGCTTAAAAAGACTAGAACAAAGGTGTCATCTAAAAAGTATCATCCAGCAACAACATTCCAAAGTTGTCACTGTGATAAGAAAAAGAAAAAAAAACATTTGGCAAATGTTTTAAAAATGTTGTTGTAAAACTTAGTAACTTATACTCTTTTCATCTGAACCACTGGAGTGTTTTCTCTCCTCCTCACTTTCTGTGTGTCCCACTTTTCCCCCTACCCATAGTAGTAGGATGGAAATGTTTAGTCTGTGCCAACAAACATTATGTACAAACAATGGTCTCTCATTGGAGACAGCTCCATAAAGCCACTAGAGACAAGTAAGAAAAAGTGTGCTCAAACTTGACCCTGAACTCTTAAACAAATAGGCCTGAAAGGACCCCACTTCCCCCTCTTTTCTCTTTAAATACAATACACACAACTACAACCCTGGTGATGTTTTTATTCACATTACAAAGATGAAGTCGTATGAAACGTTAGTTCCTTTTAACATATGTGCTGGAAGAAAAGGAATAAAAAGAAGGGTTGTCTGCGACTTCTTTGTGGTTTTGTTTCCATATGAGCTGAGGTTTGAGTTTAAAAAAAAAAAAAGCACAGTGAACCAAGCTGTAAAACTCATTACATCACTACATAGTGTGTCTTTAAGTGGATACACTGCAGCCCACGATGGGTTTAATGTGTTTTCTCTAGTCAGATCCAGTTTAGATTTGAAAAATTGGCATCATTTTAGTTCAACTCATGGCAGAGATTTAATGAGTTCAAATGATGCAAGGAGGAGCTACTTGTGCTCTGTTATTTTAGGAGGGAAAATGACTGCTGAGAGTTGTTTCTTCAGGCAAATCTGAAATAAATCTGAGATCTTATTTCTTTTAGAATATATTATCGCTGTCTAAGTGTTGTGGATTTTTTAAATGCTCACTTTCATGGATCTGACCAGGCTCCAGGTACCAGCACCCTCAGGCTATTCTGGGAACAAGATAAATAGCACGATTACGTAGATGAGTTGATGTGCACAGAAACACGGTTGCCATGACAATGAGGCCGAGCAGACTGCCGCTCGAGTGTCTATATAAAAACACAGTGTACAGCAGAGGCAGGAGCAATGGAGCAGTATGCTTTGGATACCAGATTGCATAAGAGATTTACTGACTCAAAGTTGGAATGAAGTTTTTAATGTGCCATTTTAAAGATGACACCTAAATCAAGATAAATTTATTTTAAAATAAGTTTTGAGAGGTCAGACAATTCCATTAAAAGAGACCCAACCACATTCAGTTTAACACGCTTAAAGATTAACACCAAATATCACTCATAAGTGTCACTACACAAATAGATTGTGAAACTGGTGAATGCTGCTCATTTAAGCATGATAGCTTGATCATATGCATATGAATGTTAAGTATTTTTATTATTCTTTGAATTTCTTTTAACCTAAAATCACTGGCATTTCTACAACTGAGTGACTCATGTTAAGTTGTATTCAGTTTTTTAGCTCAGTGTAACCATATCCATATCCATACCCAACATTAAGAAATATGTAAAAGATAAAATAAAAAGTGAAACAAAAGACAGCTGAGAACACAGTCAAAATTTGCCAGAGTCATGTTGTTAAATTAGGAAAGCTAAACCCAGGGGAAAATGAAGAAATTATCAACTTAATTAGTGATAGCAAAATCTCCTGCTCAAATGTATAAAGTGAAGATTAATATGATCATTTAATCCCTTTTTATATAAAAGAAAATTTGAAGAGACCTGAAAATCACTCCTAAACGTGCCTATTTTGTTTGAATGTATCAGTATAGCTAATTGTTTCACTTTTAGCTCATCCAGGTTTCCAGCTCAGACATTTTTTATTGCAAAAGTGCTCACCATGTCCTTTTTCAGAAATCCACTCAACATATTTATTTTTAAGTAAAAAATCCCAGAAGCATATCCTTGGCACAATAACAAGCATAGGAGATTCTGAACTTCCAGAACTTACTGGTTTCCTGGCACTTGCTATTTTCTATAGTTGTTTGTTTTTATAGTTGCTATCATGCTCAATTTCTGAAAGCAGTAGAAAGCTCAAATGGAGTGATGTCATTTTGTTAATTTAGAAAAGCTGAAAATAAACATAGTAAACACAAGTCCCTGTTTTGTGTTGGAACAAGATACTTTTCAGATATTAGTCTAATTATTTTTCCACTACTTCATTGATTTAATTGGATGGAGAACAACAAAATCCCAGAAAGCATAGAAAGCTATGGCAGTGTCTTATTTTGTGTAGTAGTATTTAAGCTACAATACTCCTGTGCATGTAAACAAAAGATTTTGGAATTTACCTTTGAAAAACAGGTATTAAACATTAATAAAGTGAAATAATTAAATAAATAAATAAATAAATAAATATATATATATATATATATATATATATATATATATACACATGTCCTGTCATTCCTTATCTCTGCTTATCTTGACAGTTGTTAAAATATGTGCACTTTGTTGAACCTAAGTGTATAATTTCCCCGCATGTGAAGGAGCATTCTTTAAAACATTACTGTAATATTTTAAATTGGACAGGCGCAGGGTTTATATGGTACGGACTGAAATAAGAAAAGTCAAAAAGAAGTTAAACTCCATGTGTCTGACTGTGGTTCCTTCCTCTAAGATGACTCAATTTTTTTTTCTGGCATCTCATTTATATTTTATGCGTCTGTTCATCTTTGTTCACATGTCAGACTGCAAAAAGAAATGGAAGTGAACCCCACTGACTGCACAATGAGGTCTGACATGGATCCAAAACTAAACTTTGCCAAATCTGAGAAAAGAAAATGAAAAAAATAAATAAATAAAAGCCCACTATGACATAGTTATCTGGAGCTGCTGAATATTTATGTTGATTTATTCAGTGAATTTCTGTCATCATATATATATTTTTTTGTCCTTGTTATGCAATGGAAAAAGTTGATTTTACATTTGTAAACTAGAAGTATTCAATCATTGACTTTGTTGATGTGCAGAATATATATATTCAGAATGTAAATAATACAAGCTTATCCAACAATTAAAGACATTTATGTATTTTAACTTTGATCCTGTCATGTAAGTATCCTGTTTATTCTTACTTCTTAATTTTCAGGCTCAGTTTAAGAAGACTCCTGTGATTTTTTGTCTAGAGTTGATCATTGAAACAGGCTTTCTGAAGCTGAAGATCACAACTTTGCCAACTCAAGATGTTTTCCTTCTCTTAATGCAAATTACTTTGAACACTTTCATTGAGATTCCTGATCAATATTTGGCCTTTCCACAAATGTTTAGCGAAACGGATCCGTTATCGATCAGGGCATTCAATGGTCATTCACACACACACACACGCACACACACACACACACACACACACACACACTCTGTTGTACTTTGTCAGTGTTAACATAGGCACAGTACAGTTTTTACAAAGCTAATGAAAACCAAAGGTTGGGCTTCCCAGAAAATTATACTGACAGTATGGTCATGTTGTGGACTACACAATCATCGTAAAGACTGTTGTCGAGACAGTTTTTCTGCAGACGACCTCCACAAAGTAAGTCACAAAAAAATCAATTCTAGAGAAGCGGATGTTCACAGATTGCTCTATACAAGCTTAAATAATGGACATTTGAATGGAAAGAAAAAGTTTGGCAAAGAAAAAATTTAAATATTGTGCAGACTTAAGTTTGTAGACAACCGCCATTCAGATTTTTGAGGAAGTTCACAAAGCTTGGGAAGAGCTACCACATTCACCACTTGAGCCATTTTATGGAGCTGGAACTGGGATGGACAAATACTGTCCACACAGACAAAACCACCAACGCTTGGTTTAATCACCATGGCAACACCAGGTTTGATTGAACAGTATACTGGCCAAAGCTAAATTGAATAAAAAAGCAATTGAAGAGATATACTGTAAAGTATATAAATACTTTTTGATAGTATAAAATTGTTTTCTGACTAACTGAATTTAGGAATTAGATGTGCTTACAGAAAAGGACGGGGAAAAAATCTCAACATAAATAGACATTTCAAATATTGTATTAAATATTACCACCTTCCTAAAATAATGGCCCAAGTTATTTTTTCCCAAAAGTGATTTTCTTTGCTTAAAACATATTTTGAAGAGGAGGAAGTGTTGATTTTTTTTCAGCAAAATTATTGGTGTGTCAGAAGAAGATGGGAGTGAAGATGCCCTGGATGCCAGAATCAGATGAAATGGTTACAGAACCTTACTGTAAAACTATGTTTGCTTGCTATGATTAAAATATGATTATTCCCAACAACAACCCCAGAGCAAGAATCATGAGTATGTAGGTCAAATAAATTTAAAGTATTAAACCGCTCTTGCAGTTTCAAACATTGGTGTAAATTTGATTGAAACTGGTTTATACAACCAAAGCAAACTCATTAACAAAATCTTAAAACTACTGGTTTTGTTTTAAAACAGTTATAGACGAATAAAAACTGAAATATTTGAGAGCCTGAACAATGCTCTGTTCTGCAAAGTGGGAGACGTTCTCGTTTAAATGCCATGGGGAGTTTTCTGTAGCAGCGCACATCTCTGTTAAATGAACCAGGAAAAGTGTTTGCAGCTGCTGAACACGCCTGAGTCAGCAAACATTTTCTCTTTACAATCAGAATCCATGCGGAGCCTCCACACACAGGCGGGATGGAAGCAGCAATTTCTTAACACTAGTTGACCTTTTTTGTGGATTTCAGTGTTTTCACCTGTTATATTCAGAGCCTCGGTAAAATGGCTCTGTACTCATTTTCTGTGTGTGGAGTAAGCAACCATGAATTCAGTCCAGTTTCAACGTAGTTAGGTAATATTTATTTACAATAATAAACCAGTAAACCTGATGTTAATGATTGTCATCTTGTTCTGACAGAAGAAAACTTGATACTTAATGTCTTTCAAATGTATTCATAATGCTTGAACTTTTCATAATTTATGTGATTGAACATAAAAGGACATTATTGTGAAACGGAGGGAAACGTTTGCATTTGTATTTAGGTTCATTCATACGAGTCTCCCACTAGATGCGATACATCCACACAGCAGAGTAGAAAAAAAAAAACTGGGTTTCTAAGTCCCAGATGTGAAAAGTACAGAGATTTGTTCAGGTATAGTCGTTCTGCTCCTGGATTAAAGATTTAGTGGTTCAGACATCTGGCCTGAACTGGTGGCCAGAGGGAGAAGATGAACTTTCAAACACTAAACCAGGCATTGTGTGCAAAGCCTGGTCAAAACATGACTAACTTGCACAATGCAATATTCTAAGTAAAGTCATTTGAACTTTCAAATGCTTTTTAATGAGCTTTTAATGTCAGTCTGCATCTAGATGCCCAAAATTCATTAATGTGTGCAGGCAGTAAATAAAAAGAGAGGAATACAAATGAGCTTCATGAAATAACGGAACTTTACGGCTGTCCATTTGCATGTTGACATGTGGTGAAGGATTTTGGATTCAAGATGCTAACAGTACATCAACAACAAATATTAGGTTAGACAGAAAATATTTTTTGGAGAATTGAGTTAGCAAGGTAACAAATGTTCCCATTTAAATAAGCCCTTGACTTACTCTGAACATGAAGCTCTCACATTTAGACTGCTAGTCTCTGTTTGTGTCCAGTGAAAACATAGCCACTGACGGCTGTTTTGTCAGCCATCCAGTCACGTTATGGTTCCTGGCTATAATGAACCACAGACTCCAGCCACACTGCACCACTAATGTGTTTTAGTACTGCTCCATATCATGACAGCAACTGCTCAAAATACTTTGGGTCTTCTAAAATTGCACAGGAAACCACCACAGGCTGCAGTGCCAATGCACTTGAGCTGTCTTTTACCTTAATGTCTTTTGTGTTGCTTTATTTTTCCTGCTTATACTTTGGTGGTCCATCCCAGAGAAACAAATAGAGAAAGTCAGTTTTTTTCTGTTTCGAGTGGTTGAATAGATCAGGTGAAGATTTTTAATGTTACTGAAGCAGATAAATAGAATTTGGATTTTTTTAAAAATAAGATCACTTGTTAATTTATTATTTTAGCCTTTTGTGGAATTTTCAAGGCTCCTTATAGATTCCCTGATATATCATCTTTCTCCTTACATCAACAACAACATGAATCCTCCAACAGTCTATCAGAACCTTCCCAGAGGACGGAGCATCCCATGTTGTCGATAGCACCGAGTGTTTTCGCTGCAGAGGTCTTCAGACTGTGGGACGCATAGAGAAACAAACAAAAAGGGCAGAACTGGGCCGCAGCGTTCCCACCAAGTGATATGATCCAGTGTGGGTCAAGGTCAGTAGAGGTCAGCATTTCGGGAAATGTTGATTTAGCTCCTATACAGCGACACAGTGGTGGGGTCTAAATGAAGCCATCTGTTTTGTGCCATTGTGACTGTGTTCAGAATTGCAGGGTTGTTGCAATGACATCGACCCTACAGGTTGTTGGCATTGCAACTATTTAGTGCCAACTTCTTTGAGACATTTATGAATGGAAAAACGCTGGAAAGTTAAGGTAAACAGACAAATCTGTCCAGAAGGGGGATCGGTAACAACAGTGAGAGCAGTGGGTGACACTACCTCTTTTGCTATATTTGACTGGTTTCCTCTATAAGGTCAGTGTTGCATAATCTCGTTTACCACTCAAAATGGAGGCACAAACCGTAAAAACAAAGCAGAAAAAAATGTAGCCTATTTTTACAAAACTAAATTATAATGAATAAATCTGATTACAGTTTTATGACAAACTCATCTCAAAATATAAGATACCACAGGAGCTTACAGGATTACATTTTTTTTCTTGCTTCTAGACATTCAAGTTTTACATTCTTTGGAAACTTTGTTTAGAGGAATTTATCTGGTTTTACTGAAGACAACTGTATGGGACTCCAGGGATCACTGCTAATGCTTCACAAACAACCTTCTGGTCTCTAATACTGCCTACACAGCGTATGGGAATGTTTTTTCCTTCCATTTGCACATATGTGGATCCATAGTTCTCATGGTGATGGATCCATACCACCACTCTCCTCTGTCCCATGGGACATTAGCAATAGGCTTGTACATGTTAGATGAAGAGTAAATCAAATGATTATCTTCAAATAGATAAAAAAAAACGATCAGCCTCTTGGCATTAAAGCTACTTTGGTTGTCAGGATCAATGGAATACATCCTGAAGCAGCAGCCAGAAAATGCCGCAGGAGTGCACAGAGGGCTGGGCTTTTGCTTTGCCACATTTTAGCAGTGGACCCCATACCAATTAGGCTTAACTGAGTGTCAGAGTAAACAGGGTGGGCATTCAGCTGACAGCCTTTCACTGTGTTAGCCGGAGACAAGTGAGCTTTGTGGCACACATACTGACTGATCCGGAGGCATTTCATACATTTGACCCACTAACAACTAACTAGGCTGCCCTGGGTTGTTTTAAAAGACTCTCACATTTTCTCTAAGAACAAATGGACAAATCAGGTTTTCCATGAGGGCTGAGGGAAATTCTCACTCTTGCAGATAAGCAGAACAGATGAAGGTCAAAGATGACCTTTAATAAGAAACATTCACTGTTGCAACATTAACGATTTCAGGAATGTCATTTATGCATTGCAATGTTTTTCTTGATATTTGTGCAATGCAATCACTAAGATGCTTAGAAAGTATAACATTCAATCACTTGTTCTAGTTTGAAAACCTTATAATGACCTTGGATCAGGTCAATATAGAGGTAAATGCATTCAGGATATTGGATTGCTTGAGGAATAATGCAGTTTTATATTGGGAGATTCCTCTAGAAAAAAACTTAAATAAAAAGGGAACTATTCAGGAGACACAGGTAGTATATTTACAATCCTCTCAGAGTTGTAGAGTGAGATGACAACATGGAATTCTATTAAAAAATACAAAAATAAATAAATAAAAAAGTTAAAAACTGGGTAGCCACCAGTAGAGAAACGGCCCCAGGAAAAGGTCTCACAGGTCAGTAGAAGCTCTGTTGATATCCAGTTTTTATCCAGTAAAAGACCTTGAACCCTGTTGCTCTGTTTACTCAGCTCTGCTCCACCTGCAGTAAATAATACTTTTATTTTTATTTTTTTTACTGTGGATTCAGATTTTTCTCTCTTCTTGCACTAAACTCTCCCTTAAATGATAAATGCTCCTTCAACTAAGCTGACCAAGAATTGCAAATTACAGGAAGATCACATTCCTGTAAAACCTAAATATAACCAAGTACAAGCCAAACCCACCCCCTGACACCAGGTGGCAGCGGCTCTCCATCCTGACACCAGTTGCCAGCGGCTCTCCACCCTGACACCAGGTGGCAGCGGCTCTCCATCCTGACACCAGGTGGCGGAGGCTTGTCATCCTGACACCAGGTGGCGGAGGCTGTCCATCCTGACACCAGGTACCAGGTGTCGGCGGCTCTCCATCCTGACACCAGGTGGCAGCGGCTCTCGCTCCTGACACCAGGTGGCAGCGGCTCTCCATCTTGACACCAGGTGGCGGAGGCTTGTCATCCTGACACCAGGTGGCGGAGGCTGACCATCCTGACACCAGGTGGCGGCGGCTCTCCCTCCTGACACCAGGTGGCAGCGGCGCTCCGTCCTGACACCAGGTGGCGGCGGGTCTCGCTGACACCTGGTGACACCAGAGCGAGAACCGCTCTGGTGTCAGGAATCGGTTCTCTCTTGACACTCGTGTCAGGAGAGCAGTTCTCACTCACCCTCCTCACCCCTCTCCTCTGCTTTTGACTGTAGCATAAATCCAGGTATGAATCTGAATTGAGCTCAAGGAGTTTTTTCTCATTTCCCTTTGCTTGAGGTTTGGAGTGAACAAGCACACAACCTGACCTTGACCCCAGTTGTTAAGGCCTTCAAAGCCAACATGGAGCAGCATCTGTAGCTGCGACCCCTCCCCCCCCCATGGCTGCTGCACCGTTAATGCCAGGAGATCAGTGAGGGATCAGCAGCATCAAGCTTCTTGTTTGTTTTCCTTTTTTTTTGGCTTGATGAGTGAGGCTCCATGGAAAGAGTTTCAGATTATAATTCTGATTCATTTTAAACTGAATTGGTGAGTTTTACTTCATCCAGCCATGTGGATTTGTTTACAAAAATAAAAAACATTTAACCATTAAATTCATCCACCAGAATACTTGAAATTACCTTTGGATAATATTCATAATATTGCCATAAACAATTTTCTTGAGAACATTTACCCATTTACCCTTTGTTCTGCACTGCACTATGAGTCCATACAAGCAATTTCTTAGTACAAGTCTGATCAAATACAAATGTACATACAGCATCTTACAAAAATATTTCTAAGCATCTTTCAGCTCAATGCTTTGATTGCTTTTCAAATGTTTTGATTGCTTTATTAGCACTCACACACTAAGTCTGTGAAGACCAAACAGACAATTACAAGAGGAATTTGCTCTTTTGCTGTTTGCAGCAGTGAATTCAATTATTCAGATCTGTAACTACAACTTTAGATGCAATATGTACAGCTGTAGCAAGACTTGAAAATGTATGTTTTATTTTTTTTTCTTTGTGAAGTATTTGCCTAACCAGGCAGAAGAAATTAATTTACAACGTGGTAATAGGCATTGCCTCTTGAGGGAAAAGAAAAAATGGATTTATAAAGGAAAACTTTGAATAAGGAAACAAAAACATCATAAACAGAAAAGGAGGGTACTAAACAAAACCAAAATGTTACACATGTTAAAGAAATGGATAAGTAAACACACACATGCTACTGCAATTACTGAAATGGCTACAGCTTTTATCCTCCATCAAATCTGATGGAACTTGAACTATTCTGCAAAATGTCACTTTATGGATAGATCTCAGAGTGAACAGAAATCCCAAAGGAGGACAGACGTCCACTAAATGTTTCTTTGTCAGGTTAGTCATGAGATACTATCCCTGGCCTCTTCAGGGAATATGGCCTGAAGTGACTTTTTCGATCATTAAATCTTGAACTAAAAACAACAATACTAAAATGTCCTCATCATGGATGACATTTCAGCACATTAGCAAAAACATAACCTCAGTTTTTCTCTGTTGTATCTGATTCTGCAGCTTTCTGTCAGGCATCCAGCCTCTGTGATTTGTAGCTTCTCTTTGCCAAAGGCAGCAACACTTCTCACCACCATGTCCTTCTATGGCAAACACAAGACAGAGCCTGGAACCACGTTCTCCCCTGACATCATTGAAATGACGCTTACAAACTCGGCTGGTGATGCTTTTCTGCCCCCTTGTGGCTGAAGACTGCAAACGAAGTCACGTTATCTGTTGTGGCTAATAGATTTTACATTTGGAAATCTTTGTTTCTGCTGCTCTTTTGCAATTTTTGTAAATAAAAAAATATGATCAAAATTGAAATCATTCACTGTTTCACTTCTTTTTGTGATTTCTTTATTCTAACTGCTGAGAAACGTCTGAAAACGGTTTATAAATTACAGACATTTAATTTAATATTGCTAGTTAATAGTGCTTTAAATAACTCTGCCATTCTTAGGTTCCTTTTGTGGGTGTTTATTTGTAGGTCTCAAATGGTATATAGAAATGGTTACAAATGGTAAATATGATGTTTTTATGATGTAATTTGATTAACTTCATTGATAAAATGTAATGTTTATTGTTTGTTTCACAATTGGTAACTTTATGACTTTTTATGGTGTAAAGCACTAAACTACCTTGTTGCTCAAATAAACTTTAATTTTTTAAAAATGATTTCCCAGATAATTTTTATAATTTCTCTATGTTTGATGACACTTAACATTTCCACTGCATCACCCTTATGTGAAGCTAAATGGGGATCAGAAACCTGAATTGAAATGAAATGTAAAACTTTGGGGAGTGTCATTATCTTGCCACTCAATGCCAAGATTTTAAGTTTCATTTTTAAGTTGTTGATTGTCTAAGTTCAACAAATTCTTTGAAACAAACAAAAATAAAATACAAACCCAAACATAGCTCCATAAATTATAATTTATTGCCGTCTGTGTGGTTTTGTTTTGTGGAACTTTGATTCAAAAATGGATGCTAAAAGGGTGTTTATAATTTAGATATATGATTTAGTGTGTATTTTGCTGAACAACACGCCTTGCACAGATACTGATGCCTTTAAGGTATATTAACTAACTGCAGCCACAAGGTGGCGGTACATTATTGCTGCTGGAAGAAACTTGCTGCAGTAATGATTATAGTTGTTTTGCTCTGAACACGTTCAAACCTTCTGCAATTATTTTGTGATCATTCTAACAAATTAATATGCAAATGAATATGTAATTTTAAGTCATTTCAAGCTTTAGTGAATTTTATCACAATTTCTAATTAACTCAGCACTGTCAGGTGTTCAGGATAAAATACTTTCTTGGTACAAGCAATGTGATGAAGTGGTTGAGTATGTATTTTTTCACCACTTGTTCCTTAAACATATTCATAATTCATGCTATCTAATTTTATAATTGTTCATAATTGCAACTATAAATTTGCTGCACAAAATATCCCTGGGTTGCTGCTTGTGATAGCATTTCGTTACAGTTTAAGTCCAAGCATATATTTTCTTTAAATTTAACACTCTGAATCATCAGTTAATTTGAAAATGTCTTCTGTTAAAGTTCTATTTCTAGTGAAACATTTCTTTGGTAACATTTCTTGTATATAATCACCATAGTTTGTCCTTTTCTCCCAACATCTAGGACAGATGTATGACAGGGGTCAGCCCAGCACTTCCTACTTGTAGTGATTCATGATGTAATGGATTAGTATTAGTAATAGAAGGGTCCTCAAAGGCCAGAGCCATGCATGTTTTAGTTCTCTCCCTGGTTCAACACACCTGGATCAAATGATGGCTCGTTCGCAGGATTTTGCAGAACATTGACATTCTGAGGAGGTAGTGACTACCACCAGGGCTGACAACTAAAACACGCTGAACGTCTGCTCTTGAGGACCAACTTTGAACACCCCTGTTTTGAAGGTGACCTATGATGCTTCCTTGAACAAGTCTATAAAACATGTTCATTACATTTTTTGCACAAAATCACTCCTAGCTAATGAGATTTTAGTCTGCTCAGTTCTACCTTCTTTGAGCTCCTTCCAGAGCGAGCTGTTTGGGGCCCCTTGTTCCTTTAAATCCAAATAAGTTGCTGCTTGTCCAACTCAACATTTACGCTCCCACTTGAAAATGGCTGCAAACAGATGCTCAATTATACAGCCGTACATCTTTGAAAAGCAGAAGATCCACCTCCACAACCAACAAGAATGCAGGAAGTAGTTTCTGAATGATAAGTCAACAAAACACTTGTCCTTTCCAGCAGTCATTGTACAGCGCATACAGTTGTAAAAGCAGCTGGCCAAGCATCCTGTGGCTCAGCTTGGGTTGCTGGGTGACAGACTGGGCTTTGCAGCGGTTGCTGGGTGACATCCTAGGCTTCATTAGTGTTGCTAGGTGAGGGGCAGTGCCTGATTATTTGTGACATTACATTTTGTGAGTTTTTGAAATGGGTCATTTCCAGACACCAAAAAAAATGTTACCTTATTGCCAAAAAATACCTGGGTGTTTTTTTAAGAGCTTTGGCTTTTTTAGAATCAGTAGAAACCCAAATGGATTTATAAAAGCCAAACTCTGGGATTGTCTCACGTTTTATGCATCAGATTTATACTTGGCTGTCTCTAGAAGATGTTTTTAAATCAGTTTTCCACTTTTTTGAGTTGACAGTATTTTAAGTGTCTTTTTTTTTAGCTCAAATAAGTTGAGGAGACCCATAAGTATAGTTTCCCCTCAAAACTTAAAAAAAAAAAGTTTACTTTAGTCTCTGCTGAACAGATGCGCAATACATTCTTTATTGTCACAATGAAAAATAGACAGAACATCTCCATAAAGATTTACAGTGATTCAATTTTCTATATTTACAATATTTTTATATCCATCTTAAGTAGATCAAAACATTCGTTTGTCTTTAACAAATTTCAACGTTCAAGAAAAATATTACATTGTTCACATATTTAAACCAAACCCCAAATACATTACGACACAAAATACACAAATAGTTAAACTTAGCATGTGGTTCAGTCAATATGGGGAATAAATGCATAAGCTGCCAATAACTGAACAAAAATGGCCACAAAAATGACCTGTAGTAACTCACATTTTCAAGATTTTGGATGTTTTTCTCCTTTTCGGTGTCAAATGTGCTTTAAGGAAGCCAAAAGAGGCACAACATGGGCTTTCTATGGCTCTGTGCAGCTCTCTCTGAAGCAAACTTTAAGTTGAACAAATTGAAAAGGATAAGAAAAAAAATCAACACAGACTTTATTTCAGACCGTTATTAAATGACTGTAAACTTTTTACTAAACGTAAACCCCTTCTATCTGAAACCTTTCTTTTGCAATCTTAAACTTAAGATTTTTTTAAAGAAAAACTTCTGTATCAGTCACCAATATTGATCAACTTTGATTTACAGACAGGAATATCCAATTTAAACCCCAGTAGAGAATGAAATAGATGAAGAAATTCTTTTTTTCCATGAGAAGTGTGCCGTTTTGGCATCTTTTGTTGCACCACAAATATCAACTTTCTTTGCTTACAAAGTGCACACAGGATGAATGACTGACTTTGGTAACAGGGTTCCTACTCATTTTTCACAGGCTGTTGCAGAGCAGAAACCCTGTGTTAAATGGCAAAGCACGACTCTTTCACAATGGCACATGTTTTGATGAGAGCTAACGTTTGCTGTCATGTGTGTGGGATGTGATTTACGTCAGGCTTCCTATACTGAGGCATATACAGAGAGGAAAAACTACAAGTCGACACTTGCACCAGCGTCTTGGGATCCGTTGAGTCATCTGGATTGAGCAAAGGATACAACTCTGCAGAACAGTCCTCTCTGATCAAATGTGCGCTTTTCAGAAGCTCAGTCTGTGACTCCTCCTCCTCATTTTCCTCATCCTCTGGTGGATGTCCAATGTCGAGATAGTGCAAGGCCTTCTTTTGACCCACATCTAAGTCGTCTTCTTGCTCTGACACTTCAGAAAGCTCTTTTTCAGAGTTGTAGGAGTAGGATCGCCTTGGATCATCCGATTCTGTACCATGATAGCTGTCAACTTCCCACAGTCCACCAGGGAAAGTTTCAGAGGTATCTGAGTTGTTGGCTGAGAAGTTTCCCTCGTCACTGTAGCTGCTCCTACTTCCCTCCTTGTAGTGGAGATGAAGAGGTGGATGATCTGGATTTGTATCAGTGTGTAGGACTTTGGAGTATGTGACCGAAGACTGGGCTGAGCTGTTAGTGGTTGCTGAACTCTGCTCCACCAAGGCATTGGCTGGTTGTAGCTTATTTATGGTTATGTCTGAAGTAGTTAAGGGATCTGGACTAGTGTCGCCACCAAGGGCCATTTCACACTCCAGCAACTGGCCAGTCCTTGGGTTCAAACAAGGCAGGAAGGAGTTAGTTGAAGCAACAACAGAGGGAGGAGCCAAGAGTGTTGGGGTTTGGACAAAGGCCTTTGTCAGAGTTTTATTCACAACAGTAACTTTTGAGATCTTCTCAGGAGGCAGCGGAGAGGCTTGAAGACCCTCTGGAGGTCGGAACAGGTACTCAAAGCCATCAATCTGGAGAAGTAAGAAATGCACTTTAGGAAGAGAAAGATATTTTACATTTCATAACTAAACTTGTTTGAGATGTAAACAGTATTACAACAAATAAAAAAAAACACAGGGTTAAAATCCATGCTACTTGGGTGTGGTAAGCTTCAGCAACTGAGAACAATGTGTGTTTTCTATCACACTGTTCTCCCCAATAATAGGAACAGTTGCATTAAAACCTGGACACACATAAAGACATGCAATAAAAATTTGGAGACACATTCTAACCAGTAAGGAAGATATAAAATTGTCAATTATAAGTATTTTTGGTAGGAATAAAGAAGAAATACTTAGAAATGCAAAAAATATAAATGCTTATTTCTCTCTCTCTTTCTCACTCACAACAATGGTGAAGAAGCAGGTTTCATAAAGATAAATCATTTGAATTGTGACAAAAACATTGTTGGTCAAGTCAGTGTGGGACGTCTGTTTTGGTGGTGCCAGGTGAGCAGGATGGTGACTGTGTTCCTAAACTGAACCTTTTAAAGAATGCGTCAGTCTGTCCAGACTTCTGTCAAGCTGATTTTCTCTCTACTCGCAGCTTCTTCTTCACCTCTGACCACACATCTTGTATATTGTTCTGATGGAAATGCTCCTCCATGCATGCTATCTCTAATTTTTGTCTCATAATTTGCTTTTGAAAGCTCTTCAAATATTCCCCGCCTCCCTCCCTTGGTAACCGTTTCCTTCACTGGTGGCCCAAGGTTTGCTACTGAGGAAGCATCTCAATGTTTAGCTATGCGGTATGTTAAATAGGGAGAGGAGAACTGAATCCTTTTGTCTTTGAGAGTTTCATTAAATCTTGTTATAACAAAGAATGTTCTGCAGAGCTCTGGCTGCTTACAGGCAGACACAAAATTTATACTCTGTTTTTGAAACCACTCATCATTTTCCCACTCCTTAAGATGACCTCAACATACCAACAGCTGAAGCAAGGCTCCAAGTTACACCACTTTGGTAATGTCTAGCAGACACACTCTGTTCTATTTTACCTAGTAATTAACTTTTAAGTGCATATAAGGAACTACAAAGTTAAATTTTCCATTACTGTAGGGATGACATTGTCCACAGAGGAGTTTACAAGCACACCCAGTCACAGCATTGGCTCCATGTGGCTGGCAGAACACATCCTAGTTTGTGGCATCAAATCAACTAAGCAGAATTTTGTCAACTTCCTTTGATGATCTTTTCATGGGAAGTGAAAAAATGACAAAAATCTAAATTAGAGGTTTATTCATCAAGCTTAGAAACACGAGTTTATGGAATGTTTTATCAATAAGCCATTTTTCAACCAAGACATAAGGATCATGAAAATGTTCAAAGAGCAAATTCATTTCGTTTTCCCTATTAGAGCAGTTAAAGTGTCAACAGAGAGCAAGCAATAGTTCAAATCTTCAGATATTGTTACAAATGTATGAGGCTGTTGTGTCTCTTTCTTAAAGACCCAGAGTTGATGACATTACAAGCAGAACTGGCATTGTATACTGTTGCTAACACAATCCTAGCAAATGCACTTGGAATTTCATAATTGATGGAAATCAAAAATTAACAATTCAATATCTGTCCTGCATAAACAATATTATACAGTAGATTTCACAACTTGTTGTTGACAAGCATTGCTAATACCAGTCCTTTGCTTTTACTACCACTCTTCAGCCGTCGAGAGACAGGGATATGATCATCAACCATCTACTGCTGCTTTCCTGATACTTTGTCTGTCTAAACTTTTAAGATGTCATTAAATATCCTCCTGTTATAAAACATACCTCATTGTTATGGTAAGGAATCAGAACAACTGCCCAAAAGTAACTGCAAAAATTCCTCCAGCTGGACAGCATAAAATAATTTAAAAAAAAAAGTCCCGCTTAGCAGCTGTTTCAGCTACAGGAATGAAGAAACTAAGAAATAAATAAACTGCAAGGAATATGGCAGAGCTGCTCACATTGTGCCACTTATTCTAGGACTCTAAATCACCTAAATCAACACTGATATTAATGATAACAGTGATGATAATGATATGATTTAAAAGTGTTTTATCTTTATAAGCCACTTATCAGCAAGTGCACAAAAGGATGTGATTTTTAAAGGGGTTCAGTCTGCCAAGTCCAAGCAGATCTCTTTTTATGCTGCTGCTGGCTATCCAAAGGAGACCATGTTTGGTGACCTTTTCAGAGGAGCTGGAAGGAGAATGATTGACCAGAACTGAATGTTCGGGATCATGTCTTAATTATTAAAATATGCTGACACTTACACAGGATTAAATGGCTAATCTTGGAAAGTGGGAATGGATTCATCATTTGACAGCAGTTGTCATGTTGTTCTGATGATTTAACCTTATCTAGACATCTAAACATGCACAAATTAAATCTTATTCAGCCATTTTGTGCATTTTTTTTTTTTTTAGAATTCTTTATAATCACTGCAAAACTTTGTAGAATCTGGTAAGACAAGAGATTTCCTTCCTCAGATGGTTCCTTTACCGTTTTAAAGTCTACTCCTTTTGCCCATGAGCACTTGTTTGGGTTTGGAACATCTTTCCACACAAATTTTTTCATCCTGCAAACACACACAAAAAAAAAAAAACATTTAGGTGGATTCCCGCATCAATCGACTTCTTCTCCATTCCACTCACCTGCCTGACTCCTTCTCCTCTGATCAGTAAACATCAAATGTAATTACACCCCTTAACCTCTTAAATGTCACGCTTCTAAATTTTCCTAGACAGTCTGTCGGGGACCTCAATTAGACCACACAGCGCAGATTAACATCATTTATCATTTCTTACAGGTGACTGCCAGAGAGAGAGATTCTGTTTACACTGATCTGCAATTAACACCCACATCAGAACATAAATATTTTCAAAGATCATTGTTACTAAAACAAGGTCTTACTGGTTTTGGGAGAGAACCAGGGTCACAAACACGGCAATGCAGAGGAGGGAGATGAACATCAGCATCATGTAAGCTGGAGGATTTCCTGTCTTAACTGTGATAAAATGAAAACTTATATCAGTTACTAAATAATAAAATTTCCATGCAGGCATTTGATGTTGCATTCGATACCGAAGTGGAAACAAAGAATATACCTATTGTAACAACTGGTTCTCCTTCTCCATCAGCAAACACGGGGTACAAGTGGAAGGCGTACTCCTCTGAGCTAAAGAAATCTCCTTTAAATCAAACATTAAAACAGCAGATTGATTACAGGTCAGTTAGCAAAGAGAGCCAACTGTCACAGATTTCAGACAATGGGTTACCTCGTAACTGGGTAGGAGGTTCGGTGTAGGACAGTTTGGCCCACGTTTTTTTACTAAGACCAAAGTCTTCAAAGTCCTGCTGCTTCCTTGGGAACCACTGAACCACCATGAAGAGAGGGGCAGAGCTGATATGCAACAGGCTCCAGGACAGAGATACACAAGTGCTGTTTATAACCAAAACGTAGAATGAATGGAGGCAGCGGCCTGCAGTAGAGGAAGGAAACAATACGTTCATATGACACTCGTGGACACATTCAACAAGGGAAGGGGAGCTTCAGATAGTTTATTTCTGTTAAGGTTGACTTGATCTGGTAAACTTGGGTCAATTCTTGTAAATTGACTCAAGCTTACTTGAAGATTGCCATTTAAAGTCAGAAGTAAGTTTTCTTAGTTTGTTTTGTTGCAGTAAAATAATTTTTACAACATTTGAGTCAAATGCAAATTTTAGTTTCATTTCACTCTTTTATCCCTCTGATTATTATTCATAAGGGCAGCTTAATATCAGAATTTTTTTTTTACTATTGTTGGAAATTAAAAGAACTATATAAATTATGATTTAAGTACATTTTCCTGACAATTTTCTTTTACAAACATCCTACCCCTTTTCATGAGCTTTACCATCTCAGCCACTACAGATACACATCAGGTGTGAGCATTAATGACTGTTAGAATCCATCTGACTTGTTAATATTATTGATGTACAGAGCATGAATGCCTGATTCTATCTTTGTAATAGCAATATTGCACACAGTGAAATTTAGAAGACGATTGTGATTCTGTATTTTGTCCAGATCTATTACTTATGGTATTGATTTACTTAACCATCTTCCCAGGAGTTTAGAATTTAATCTATGTAGCAATTTCTTAGTCTACCACTAGTGTTTTATCACTTTCATGTCCAAAACTGCATTTCCTTAGCTCTTCAAAAACACTTTTTTTTGTCTTCTTTACATTTCTGTTTTTAGCCCTGTCCTCCGCTCATTATTTTTAATTGCTTCCTGTTTTTATCTTATGTAAAGCTTTATCTTTTGGCTTTTTGAAAGAGAAGTGCTGTATGAATAAAGGCACAATGGTTTATTAAACAAACAGGGAACATGTGTTCTTTGGGACCTGTTGCTAATGGACTCGTTTTTAACAGTGTTTCCAATAATTTCGTCATTTTCAGGGAAAATGAAAAAATATTTCTATGCAGCAAGCACTTACTACCATTCATCATGGAGGGAACTGACACAGTAGACTCTTATTAAAATGCACCCTGGTACTTCACCTCTGTAATATTACCTAAAGTACTGACATTACTAATGCCATTAGCCGCTAGGCATCAATAAAGGCTTATGAATGGGATCCGTACAGGTAAATATTTTGATGCTGTTTTTGTTGTATTAGTACATTTTTTTTCTGCTATGTACTTCTAAAGGTAGGAGTGATGTAAATATGCTATAGAGAAACAGACAAAAACATATGTGTTAATGTAACAGGATTTTCAACATAAATGAAATCCCACTATTCTGTTTATCATTAACTGAAAATGTTCAGGCCGGCTATGTTACTCAAAAGATCATTTCAAAACCACAGAACATGTTCTTTTTCTAACTTCGCTCGCTGTTTCACTATAGGAATCGCCTCAGCGTGACCCAACTACGGAAGCTCCAATGACATCACGTCTGTCCGCGACAGACAGGTTGAGCCGTGACTGTGGCTCCACTCACCATCCAACCTACCCCTCTCAACTCATTCTCGCTTTCTCCCCGTGTTAAGAACTACAACAAAGCTCCCTCAGCACATTCAGGCTAGCTTGGCTCTGCTTAACCGTTCTTAGGCGTTCCGTAAAGGAAGACGCCGCTGAACGCAGTACCAGGACAGGCCTGGACTGTGCTGGGTAAGTGCTTCCAAAGAAGCATTTTCTTATTCGTTTGAAGCAGCTATCGCGTCAAGGCGGGCTGCTTTTATAGCTACTCTTTAAATTAACAGAGTAACTGTTGGCTAAGCTAACGCGTCAAGGCGGGCTTGGTAGCTGCTTAGTGGTACATCGCTAGCATAAACAGTTGGTAAAGTTCAGCTAACGTGTCGTGGCGAGCGGACTTTATCTTCAGCTTTATATCTAACGTGTTACGACGAGCCATAATAAGCTTTCGGCATGGCTACGGCTCCCGCCCCCACCAAAGGGTCGGAACCGACGGTTAAAGAGGGTGTATCCCGCTCGTGCCCTGCGTCATGCGGGGCCTCTTTTTCGGGCAGGGACCCGCACCCTATGTGCATCGTTTGTATGGGCGCTAAACACGCTCAGGCGTCGCTGGCCGACCCTCAGGGGTGCCAGCATAGCTCGTCGATGCCAGAAAAAATCCTGGAAAGGCTGCTAAGAGTAGCTGTAGCTAACAGCCAGGACCACCCGTGTCTCTCATCACTTTCAGCTTTTGCGGCGGGTGATAAGCATCAACCGCGAGCCTCTAAGAGCTGGGCGGACATGATGGAGGAAGAGTCCTCGCCCATTTTTTAATCTTTCCTCTTTTACGCAGATGTCGACAGTGAAACAGCAGTAAAACAAGGACCATACTGGCCATCTGCATCTTCTTGTTTGTCTGCGATCCAGCATGTTCACTAAAGGTTCAGGTCTCCTACAGACCACAATTGGTCTTTTGTAGTCTCAAAAGCACGAGAACTCCCTCAACCAAGGTGTTCTCGCATACGAGTAACAAGGAACCACAAGAAAACATGTTGCATATCAAAATCATCAACAAGTCACATCACAACAAAGAGGAAGAAAGCTAGGATTTACAACTCCTTCTGCAAAGATTCTCAATCAAACCAAGATGTGCATTCACAGACAACCTCAGGTATATGTGTCCAGTGATACACGTATATTCCTTTAAAAATACATGGTAAAGCTACATATTTTAGCTGAAGTGATATGAGAAGACTTTAGAATTTTAATTTCTAAGTACATGTTCTTTAAAGACTTTCTTTAAAGACTTTCTTTAGTTTCATGAAACAAGAGCTACTGTTTTGACTGTTTATTTTTTAGCATAAAAAATAAAAGCTTCAAAAAATGTCTTTTTGAAGCTTTAACGGCTTCAAAAAGACATTAAGTTAGAAATATTCTCTTTAAATGTTTTTGCTTCAATAAACTTTTGAAATTGTTTGTACTTTTTGTGAAATGTGTTTAGAATTCAGAAAAATTAAAATCTAAACAGGAAATTTTGGATTCCATAAATAAATCAGCTGTCATAAAGCTTTATGCAAGGTACAGATGTAACATACAAATATCTAAAGGTGCCTTTAGATTCAGTTTATATTTAATCTGTATTTATGATGCATTCATGTCATTCAATTATTTAAATCATTCGCATTTCAGCATCCGAGTATTGTGTTCACCAGCACAGACTCACACAATAAAGTCTTTTTTGACACCACATCCTGATCACATATTAAACTAACCTTGAAATTTGTAGTTAATTCATAAACTACAGAAGAACATGAAGCCCAGCCATTATGTAAATCATTTTCAAGAGCCTTACTGGAAATGCAGTCAACGTGATCATCTGATATGATCTCATCTAAAAACAAAATTAGAATTTGTATTGTTCCAGTAGTTCCAGTGAAACAGTGACTAAATATTTCTCAGGAACAGACAAACATCACAACAGTTCAGCCTCTCATTGTTGTATACTAAGTAGATTACATTCCCTCAGGGATTGCTGAAATGTCCTGTTAATTCCTTTTTTCTTACGTTTAGGTTGTTTCTCCAGCGTCATGTTGACGTTGTTAACAGAGCTCCCCAGACTATTGTAGGCTTCCACAGTCACAATGTGGAGCTCCTGATTCCACTCAAAGCTGTAGGAGGACACCATATCGATCTGCCTCCTCAGCACAGATCCATTCGACGCCTGGTGCTGGACAATAAATCCATCCACACAGTAGGTATTCCAATTTGCTGAGAAAGACTGGAAAACAAAGTAAAAGATTCATTCTGCTGCTCACTATTACACTCTAATCAATATTTTAATGAGAAGCTCAAACATCTGAGGCCTCAAACTTTCTGACCTTGTCGATGATTAGCAATACCTTCATAGGCAAAACTATGTGCAGCAACGTTCTCCAATCCTACAGTCGTAAAATCAACAATTGTGGCCTTTTTGGCCTAAACAACAGAGATGTTTGATAAAACTATACCAGGCAGGAAAGCTAGGGTTAGGGTAGGGTTATAGGGTTATAGGTAGGGTTACCTGTGATTCCAGAAAATGATTGCCCAATAATAATGAGGGAGGGGTTTTGAGATCCATTTACAAACAAAAGAATAAAAAAGATTATTCAAATGTTGAAAAAAAAATGTAAGCCTTTCTTCTTACTATGTGAGCCAAATTTAGAAAGTAAAACGGCAAAGCTCACAATAAGGTTAATATCAGGTTTTATACATAAACAATCAAGCCCCTTTATTTTAAACTATGCTTTTAATTTTCCCCAAATCATTGCTCAAATCTCTTCTGGTCTAGTCTTAAGCCAGTATTGTATACCATCCTGTCTCATGAGCTGAATGCATCCCATTCTGTATGCTTTGTTTACCTCAAACAGCAGAGTGATGTTGGACTGGTTTCTGTCTGGGTCATCTTGACGTATTCTCCAGAAATCAGGCCCACGTTCAGGAGCTGAGGAAGAGAAGCAGCAGCCTAACATGAGACACTTTTTACTTTAGATGCACCAAGAAGTTAGACTGGAATTGGACTTTTCCAGTCACTGGCAAGCTGTCTCTCCACTCTCAACCAGACTCTGACATTCATTAAAAAATGAGAACATCAATAGCCAGGTCGCATTTCTTAGAATAATCTTATTGAATAAAAAGTTATTAGCCAGAAAGGTCTTCTTCTCTCTTGCAAAATCTCTCCTTACCCTGTGGGAGGTCCGAAACTCTGGTTCTCTCAGGGTTAGAATGTGGTCAGAGAGTTTATTGATTATGCAGTGGGAAGATTGGTGCCGAAAGGCGGAATACAAAAGTTTGAATAGAGATCTATTCTCTATTTGTCATACATAGAGAAGACAGGGCAGAGAATGCACTTGGGGACTAAAAAAGGAAGTATGAGGGGACTAGAGATCCAGGATCGAGAACACAACAGCAAACTTGATCTGACGAGGGGCAAGCAGAAATCAAAGTTGAAAGAGACTGGGTCTCTTTCAACCCATGACAGAGTTTTCCATTACTCTGTCATGGAAATACTGTTGGAACGACCTTGGCAAGGTAAATAAGACAATCTGATACTTGAGGAAAGACTGATGAGGGTATAAACACTAATGGAAAGGGTGACTCATAATGAGATGATTGAGCCCAGCCGAGTTACACTGCACATCACAAACCATAACTGTTTTAATTCTGGATGTGGAGATGTTGGCTGACCATTGGAAACCTCACAGGTAAAGTAAACATGCTTTGTAACAAAACAACAGTTAGTGCACTAATCATTCTGAATGGTAATATAAGAGGCTAAGGACATTTTAAACAGGACAGGAAACACAGATTCCTGTCAAATTCTCTTAAGTATAACAACATTTGGAGCCTGTGTATGACCTTCGCCACAGCTTTCCGACTGTGGATTTAATTATGGAGTTTTTAAGTGTCTGACCTGCATAGAGTAGGAACACACAAACTGAAACTTAGAGTTACACCTTACTCTTAGAAAACAATTGAATTTTGTTTTATGCCACACTGTTTTTTCCAGTTGGGCAAAAAAAAAGTGAAGAAAAAAAGTTACAGAGCTATAATTAGGCTTTAAAAATGAGTAAATTAGAAATACAGTAGTTTCTGGAGGACTTTACTGTGTTTGTAGATTTTCTGTTTATCCAGAAAATAAAGATACTCTTGTTGCTTCTGGAGAATCGCCTACAATAGCAATAGCAGACCAGATGTTTACAAACCTGATCAAAATATCTGATTGCAGTTTTTGTCTCTTTTTGTTGTTCAGTCCTTTGCTTGTGCTGATTAATTTGAATCCTGTTTTATCTTCAAATGCTATTATATAAAACGGAAATGTTACGTAGAGTTGAGTTCAGCAGTGAAGCGGGTTTACCTCTGCTGTTTTGAGCGGTGGAGTGGACAGACTCACTCCATTCACTCCAGTATCCGATCCCACTGGTGTGCATGCAGCGTACTTGAACCACGTAGATCTGGCACATGTCTGGTACCTCAACCTCGGCCCAGGTAACCCACACAGGCTTCTCAAACTGCACATATTTATATAAATATATATATTTTCATCGGGGAAAACCAGAAACATTTCTAACAACTGGAAAAGGTGCTTGCTCATTGATTAAATTTATGTCAGTTAAACAGGTTATACAAATCAGTACCAAAAGGATTTTTGTACAATCCCACAAAGATCCATCATGTCTTTCTGAGCTGTAAGTCTGCGGACTGACTGCTGGACAAACAAAACGTAATTGCTTTAGCTGCTCTGGTCTTAGGAATGAAATTTTCAATTGAAAGTTGTCATCTGGTTTTTCTGTCTACGTACTCCTTCTGTTTCCCAAAGGTATGAGAGGAAATGAGTGTAAATCAGGAAGAGAGCACAATTCATGGCATGTGTCCAATTTCCAGGAAGAATTTTCAATCACTTAACTGGAAAGAGGTTTCATCAAAATGATGGTGACAAATAACTGAAGAACGCCAAAGCATTATGCTTTGTCATTTGATAAAATTTAGGGATTATTTAATACTTTAGTTTATTTTTTTTTCCAAGCTTTTGGTTGGATCTAAAATTTGCTTCCACAGCAAAAAAGGGGTAACAAACTTTTTCCAATCAGGTGTCTCTAACCACCTGATTATTATTACTTTAATAATAATACATTTTTAAGAACTGTAAACAGCAAGACTCCATATCAAATATTATGCAGAGGTTTTGTTGGTGAAACAGTATGAAAAGCTCACCTTCCATTTCTCTAAAACGTCGAGTAAGTAGTACCGAAACTGACACTGCAGGCCTTCGACCGGCAGAGAAGGCTGTTTCCAAGTTACCCTCAGGATCCCTCCGCTCCGGCTCACCGCCGTCACATCAGTGGGAGGGTGAGGTTTTACTGCAGATCGAGTGGGAAGAAGCACACAGATACTCAATCTTGTAAAACTGAAAAAAAAAAATCATAAATTTATATTGTAGGATAAGCAGAACAAATTATCAAATAAAACCAGCTTTGCATAAAATCAAAGTGAAAATGTAAAACCATTAAGCTATTTATGTTCATTTTACAATGGAAATTTTATAGCTCAAACAGGTGTTTTCATTCATATTTTTCATGTCAAAATGCCATGCCTTTCTTTATTTAAAATTTTGAAGTGCTTAGTAATTTTAATTTGCCAATTTAATAGGCACTGATGGATGCGTTTCATATTCAGCTCCTCCTTTTTGCTGGTTTGGCAATTTGTTGCTGAGAGCAAACTGCTGTAATAGCTTTCAGTGTTTTATCATTCCACATATTCCAAAAAAACTCAAATTATAACTAAAATGTTGCTAAAATGTTGTGATGATGTAAAATGTTTCATTATTACAAGCTCACAACTTTACAATGATATTGAATAGGCCTTTACAAAATACAGATTTCAACACTTCTCCCTTACCATGATTTATGGGTGATACATAAACAGGTTTGCACCTGATGACACCTAGGCGGGTATGCAATTCAAGCCACAGTTTGTAGCAATTCATCTTCAAAGGGTGGAATGTGCAGACTTTCTCTGTAGTTTTGATTGGCATGCATTCATGTCCCATCTCACCAACGTCCTCGCCACCTCTCACCCTTTCCTCCATCTCGTCACATGACATCTCGGCACTCCTGTGCAATAAACAAAGACACACAACAGAGAAATAAGGCTTAACTTTATTTCATGCAGCCTAGTGATCTGATTTTATTTATAAGCAAACTTTATTAGTACAAGAGCAGCAAGATGGACTGCAAGTGACACCAGTGCAATGGGCCAGAGGTGTGACTGTTAACAGTTAGCTGTGCTAACCAGCTGACTATGGCATGATGAAAGGATTGTAATTTGACAGATTAAAAGCCTCTCTGCGCTGGCTTGTATCATGAGAAGGTCACCTCATTTGCAGGCAAATTTGAAGTGTGAACTTTGAAAGGTTGAATTTTACGCTTAAATTTTTGCAGGAAATTTCAAAGTAAAATAATATATTTGCATGGGATAAAAATTATGTGCTATAAATTCTATGGCTAAAAAATAGTCTGATTCCAATTAGACTATTTATTCCACATGTGGTGGTGGATCAACATCTAGGGTGCCAAACAGGTTAGGACTGCCTCTGTCCACCACTGCCACTTGTAAAAACAAAGGTCACTGCAAAGAACATGGAGTGTTTTAAAATGCATCAGTACTTGGACCGGAATTTGACTATTTCCCACTCTTTGTTCTCCCATCTGCAGGTCATAGTGTCAATGTCACCGTTGGTTACACACGTGATGCTGATGAATCCTCCTGAAACACACAACAGCAGATTAATTCACAGACAAATGTGCTGCAATTAGATTAATTAGGTTGTCCAACTACCAAATGCTTTCTTTGTGCTTCTGCAGATCACTGCCTTCTAGTAACAGGTTACTAGCAGTGTCCAAAGTCAGTCCTTAAGGGCCTCTATCCTGCATGTTTCAGTTCTTTCTCTGGTTAAACATCTGAATCAAATGATGTTTCATTAGCAGACCTCTGTGAACTTTATCACATGATGAGAAGGACCATTTAAGTCAGCTGTACTGGAGCAGAGACACATCTAAGGTCATTAACCCTAACTTTTTGAAGACTGGAACAAGACACCCATGGTTTAGGGTCAATAAGTAAATATAATTCAGTTCAGCTTGTTATCGCGGTAACAAAACTCACCTTCCACATAGATCTTGCTATAAGGAATATTCCACTCCTGTGTGCAGGTCAGCAGGTCAGACAACCCAGTTTCTGAAGCTGTGAATGTGATCTGGCTGACCTATGTTAGATTTAAAATATGTAAAACAATAAATGTCCAGAGAGATGCATGTCATGTCTAGTCTGTGTTGTTTAAATAGCAAAAAACAAATAAATAAATCCAACCCTTAAAGAATTTGATGGAGTGCTTTGTCTTACCCGCTGGTTGACAGGATGATACAAACTGGGATCAAGCGGCACCCTTCGGTTGAGGGACCACATGGCCGTATTTGCGTTGGCGCTCTGGCCGTTTAGCACACAATAAACCGTTACATTATCGCCGGCTCGCGCCACTACCATTTGAGGGATGTAGCTCACTTCTGCACACAGGGAAACATGTGAAATATATTTTAAGCTTTTTATACATGAAATTTTGCCCTGAAAATGTGAACTAATACAAGATGCAATAAGGATTAATTGGTGAATTCAAGAACTACATAGGTTAGAGAACTTTTTTAAAGGTTTTATTGGTTCTAGTGGCCTTTATTTGATAGTGAATTGACAGGAAAGTGGCTAATGAGAGAAGGGGGAGGACATGCGACAACGGACACCAGGCCGGGAATCAAACCTGCAACAACCACGTCAAGAACTAAGGCCTCCATATGTGGGTTGTGCTTAACCCCTGTGCCACCACATCACCCCAGAGAACTTTTGACAAATGTCAGGACACTTTATAAGAAAGGCAAAGGGTCAAATTAACTCCAAATGCATGAGATTCAGTTACATCCAGTTGATAACATAAGAGCTTAATTCGCTCATATATCCTGTCAGTGGTTCTAGTGGGAACAAACTGAGCTTCTGCAGTCGTTGTTGTAAGGATGAACAGAGTTTGGGGAGGACTTGCTGTAATACGATCCCAGACCAGTTTTTTAAAACACTTCATCGCCTCTGATTTGTAGTCGTTGAATCCAGAAATGTTTAGTTTCTTAGGTAAGGGAACAGTGTGGGATTTCAGGCATTACTCATGCCTGAAATGTAGACCATTGACCTTGAAGGCCACTGACATGGCCTTCAAGGTAGACCTCATCTCATGCTCTCCTACAACGAGGGTCCAGTTGCTGTGGGTTGTTCGATGTTGTGTAGCCTTTGTTAGCTTTTCCTCAGAAAAAGTTAAAGAAGATGTTCAGCGTAGGCAGGCTGCAGCTGCTAGGTTGGCCTGGTAATTGGTGAAGTACTGGATTCCCTGCCACACCTGCCTGTGGTTGTTGTTCTATAGGCAACTGATACTGATCTGCCATCACATTGTCAGACTTCTGTTTTGTACTGAATGAGACTTATGATTTGCATGAAACACCTGTTGTTTGTGTTGATGTTCTTTAAGTCTTGTCAAACATTTGTTGAGCCAAGTGGCAGTAAACATGAAATAATGATGCAAAGCATAACTCTGTTGCACAGCAACTCAGCATGGGGTGCATAGAGTTCTGTGTCTACATGAAACAAGTTCATTTACTGCACTGAAGCACAAGGCAGTAGTTTTCCTCTAGTTAAAACGTATACAGTACTGGTGTGTTTTATGTTTATGGCTCTTGAGCCATTGCGTTAAACAGTTGCATTCACCATTTTACCTACCTGTCTCCACTTGCAGTAATTCAATTGATTGCACAACATCAACCAGGTATGTGCACCGCAACATTGATGCAACATAAATACAAATGCCAAGATAGATCTATTATACATGGTGTAGAATGCTTGATACTGTGAAATGCTTTTGAATGATTTAAATCTTTCTTAAAATGCTCCAGGTGATAATCAATAGTTCAGAAATTACATAATAAATGATGACATATGGTCAGTTGATGCATTTTGACTCCTTCTC